TTTGGGGGATTTAGGGATTTAGGGCTTTAGGGGAGAGTGGAGCAGCAATAAACCCTGTAGCCGGCTCTGTAGGATCAGTGCACTGAGAACAAGAGAGAGCTCAGGGGACTTCCACCCTCCTGGAGCCCTGAAATATCCTCCTTGCTCCTGCTGCTGCTCCCTGGGCTGTGGCAGCACGGCTCTGCATGCTGGTGCTGCTGCTCTCTAATCAGACACGGGATTTGCAATTAAGCGACATGGAGTGCCTTGGGGACACAGCCTGCTGTTTGAGCCGAGCTCAGACGAGTTCGGGGAGGGAGAGACCTGATTTCCCACTTAGCAGACAGGTCACGATCAGTGGATTCATTGATCCCAGAAAGCAAAGCCTCTGCTTCATTAGAGACATGCCGGTGATGAACGCAGCCTCAGGGAGCGGGGAAGCTGCTGTGAATCGTTCCCCAAATGCCGGCTCTGACCGCTGTGCAGAGGGAGCTGCTCCATCCTGCTTCACACATCACGCACTTGGTTCTGAGGGCACAGAAATATGCTGAGCCTGGAGGGATGCTATTCCCCTTTGCCTGCAGGAAGGACAGATCCTGCTCTGCCCTCTGCTGCCTTTCCAATTTGCTCTGCCCGGCTCAGCTATCCCCGCAGGGAGGTCTCCTCGCCGGCTCCTGCCAAAAGTTCCTGGCAATAACTTCCCGGTGCCCTTCAGTGCAGCTGCTCAAGACAGCAGATGGGGCCGTGGGTTGTAGCTGTGCCAGACCGGTTGCTCTGCAAACCTGGTTTGTGATAAGCTGTGCTTATGCAAGCAGCTCCAGCTACACCCATCGTTCCCAATTCCTCACGTAAAAACCTACCGAGATGCTCAGCGCACAGCAGGAACCAGCTCTGAAGGTGAGCACTGCCCAGGAGCCGTGCTGTCTCTCCTCCCTGCATCACGACATGCACCCACTGGGCACCGCACACGAGCCAGCATGATAAAAACACCCACGGGTGAAAACGGAAGACAGTAACTGGGAGAGGACCGTGAGCCCTCAACGTGGAGATTTTGTAGGTTTTCCTCCATTTCCTGCATGAGGACAGCCACACAGGGGATGCTGTTCTTTAAGATTTCTGCTCCAGAGAATCGTGTTACGCTGTTGGCTTGGGGCAGGGATGTGTCATCCTGCTCCTAGAGGCTTTGGGACTTCTTGCTGCTAATTCCTTCTTTCAAGAAAGCATCTCCCGTGGGCAATCATCGCTCCGTGGCATCGCTGTGTTCCTTCCCAGCACGATTGCCCAGCGGTGACTGTGCTGGCTTCTGCCAAGGAGAAGATGCCTGGCAGGCAGCCCTGATGCCAGCACGAGCATCTTCAGCTTTCAGCATCAACACGACACATTTCCCTTCACAGGAGCTCTCCTCCTGGGGCCTTTGTTCAACAACTGCTCTAGGGGCAGATCTCGAGCTCCCAAGCACTCGGCTCTGATTTCTGGCTCAAAGGAGCAGGAAGCACAGCACGCCCAGCCCAGCTCGACTTTCAGCCTGAGAGCATCTCAGGCTTTTGGAGAATTTGGGTATGTGTAGCTGAGCTGGGTCGCTGCATCCCTCGCAATCACGTGAAAGCATGCATGGAGGCAAAGGTGCAGCTACCTCTGCAGATGTACAGGGATCACCAGGATCCATGCGAGTCCCCAGCACTAACTGGGGTGTCAGTGGGAGCAGAGTCTGATTCGCACACCGTATGTTCCCAATCCACCACGTTCAATCAAGCCTAATAAAATTAATAGGGGAGCATTGAAAATCTGGTGATTAATTCTTTATGATCTGTAATAGGGGAGCTGTGTGCCAATTACTCGAGTAAATCATTCATCAGAATATAAATAGAGCTAACCTCCAGCACAAACACTAGAGGATTTCCACTAGGATTGCAGGTCTGGATTGCAGCATTGCACGGCTGGTGACAACACGTTATCAGATGGAGAACAGAAGAGTATCTGGAATTTCAGTGCTGTCTGAACAGCCCAAGGTTTCAGCCTTGTGTTCCAGTGTAATTTGCTTCTGTTTGCAATGTAGTCTTGTTTGTTTACGATGTTTTGATGCTGTCTTTGATCTGTGCAGCTTGTCAGTCCAAACTGCTGAAGGTTTGCAGGGGGGTCAGCTTCATTTCATGAAAGGTTTCAAACGATGAGCTGTGACACTGTGAAGTGTTGGTGAAAAAGGCCCCAGACCTATGTGCTGAAGTTAACCTGTGCTCTTGGCTGCAGCTTTCCAGCCATATTTGCAGTATCTCATTTCCAAGGGAAACCCCCAACAGTACTCCTTGCCCTGCACTGTTGGGAGTCCCTCAGGTCTCCTTGCATTCAGGGACATTGAAATGTTTCTGAGCAAGCTGCAGCTTGCTGAGCCATGGCATCCTGCTAAATCTGACAGCCAGCATCCTCCACTGCATGCATGCCTGACCCACATGCAATGAGCGTGCAATGCTCAGAAACCCTCTACAGCAGATGCACCATTGGTCCTCCCTCTGTCAGGACTGTTCTTCGTCCCTCATACCAAGAATGACTTTGTTTAAGTGATCTCTGCCCACACAGGCATTTTGCAATTGCATACTCATCAGTGACCTCTCAGGATCACGATGGTATTTAGGAGGCTGTTGGGAGGCTTCAAGCTGAGAAGGGACTTGGGAACACTGAGGGAAATGCTGTTCCTTAGCTCAGTGCTTGGAAATTTGAAAGCTGAGTAAAAGGCATGCCCTGGGGAGAAGGAAAGGGATGGGAACACAGAGAGAGACCCACCCTGCAGAAAGTCCTCCTTGTCTCCTTCCCAGCTGCTGGGATGTTTCCCAGAGGCACAATAGAGGTGTATGGAGGGACTCCACCATTGTAAATCCCCCAACCCAATGTCCCCTCAACTGGGGAATTGGCAGTGGGAGTGACATGGGAGCTCTGGGACTGTTTCCCATGCAGCTTGTGACAGTCCTCCCCCCCTGAAGCACATGCCCTCAGTGCGGGGGTGACAGGATGGACATGTCTGTGACATCCCAGCCCCGCTGGCCTTTATTCTCTCAGCCCACCATGACATCCTTGTCCTCTCCCCACCAGCCACACTGACAGCACAGGGACATCTTCCTCTTGCAGCACAGAGGCTGGTCTGGAGACAATTTCTCCCTGCTAATTCCCTCCCCTGGGGGACATTTCCTCCTCTCTGAACATTGCCATCATTGCTCTTCCCATTGCATTCCCTTCGCCCTCCCCTCTGCCCCAAGGACCCAGCTGGTGGGACTTGCAAAACAAACATCCTCCCATCTGCTCCTGCGCTCCAGCCTGGGAGATGGCAGAGGCGATAATTACACACTCAGCGCAGCAAAATTATCCAGCACAAGGGAGAAGAGGCCGGAAGCAGCTGGAGATAATTCGTTTGGGGAACGTTGTTCCCACCCACAGTGCTTTCATCTCACCCCAAACCAGCCAGCTTTGCAAATTCTACTATGAATGCGTTCAGAGAGCCCAGACAGAATGGGGTCCAGCATTGTGCAAGCACACATAGCACAGAGCTGGTTCTGCAGGTGAGGAGATGAGGATGCATGGGTGCAGCAGAGCAGCAGATCCAATGAAACCCAGTTTTTCACTGAGCGAAGAATCCTTGCTAAGTTTCAAAGTACCTTTCAAGTGCAACCTTAAAGGATGCTGTTTTGCTGGCGATGCATGCATGTGAGCTGCTACTCCTGCACCTTTTCACTGCCTGTTAGGGCATGTATGTACAGACATCCCTTTATCCCTTTCCTCACCACTGCTTCTGAGACATCTCTGGAAGGGACGCCTGCAGCTCACTCACGACACTTCCTTCCTTTAAACTCCCTTTTGAAAAAAATCTATTTCCCCTCAAATGAAGATCTTTAAAACTGAATGGTCCATGTGGAGGCCCCGTGGGTGCGTGGAAGATACTACCACACTGCCCACACAGTCAGGTTCAGAACTGCAGCCCACCACATCCACCAATCATAAATACCCAGAAGAGGAACGCAGAAAATAATGGTGTCATAGAATCACAGAACCACAGAATGGCTTAAGTTGCAAGGGACCTTAAAGACTATTGAGCTCCAACTCCCCTGCTATGGGCTGGATGTTCCCCACCAGATTAGGCCCCATCTAACCTAGCCCCGGCCACCTCCAGGAATGGGACACCCACAGATTCTCTGGGGAACCTGTTCCAGTGACACAGTGCCCTGAGTAAACATTTCCTAATATAAATTTCCCCTCTTTTAGTTTAAAGCCATTCTCCCTCGTCCTGTCGCTGTGGGACTGTTGGCACCCCTCCCGTTTATCGGCTCCCTTTAGGTAGTGGAAGGCTGCAGCGAAGTGTCCCTGGAGGTTTTCTTCCCCAGGCTGCACACCCGCAGCTCTCAGCCCGCGCCCACTGCAGATGCGCTCCACTCTGACATCCCCGTGTCCTCTGCAGACCCCGCTCCAGCAGCTCCATATCCCTGTGCTGGGGACCCCTGGACGCAGTGCTCCTGGTGGGACCTCACGAGGGCAGAGCAGAGGGGGACAATCCCTCCTGCCCTGTGCAACCCCTCAGCTGATGCAGCCTGTTGGCTTTTGGGGCTGCAAACGCACAGCGCTGGCTCGAGTCCCACTTGTCATCCATCGGGACCCCCAACTCCTTCCCCACAGAAAAAGAGATCCCGGGGACCTCTTGTCTCCCCAGTCTCGCTCTGCAGTGTCACTGATGCCCTGTTTGTGTTCACCTGGGCCTGCGTGGCCAGGCCCTGCAAACCCACCCTATGCAAACCCCCTGTCCGCCCCCCCAGCCCCTGGTGGCCGCAGGCGGCCCCAGTCCCCCCCACCACCTCGGTTGCTTCACTGGTCAAGGGGGCAAAGTCCGACCGCCGTCAGCACGGGCCGCCCTGCCCGGCGCTGCGGACAGACACACGCTCAGAGTCCTCAGCGGAGGCAGCGGGGCCCGCAGCGAGGTCAGCCGGGAGCCAGGTGGGACGAGGCCCCGCGAGGTGCCGCGATCAGACCAGGCCTCTCCCAGCTCGGGCCGCGGCGTCCTCTGGGCCGTGTAGTTCCCGCGGCGCACGGAGGACTACACTTCCCAGCAACGCCGCCGCGCTTGCTGGCGGCCGGCCGGGGGAAGGCCGCGGGGTGCCCCGGCTTCGGCCCCGTGCCATGGCGGGGAGGCCCGGGCCGGGAGGCCGGCGGGGAGCGGGGCTGCGTTGGTGGCCGCGGGATTGCTGCGGCGGGCTGGGAGGCCTGGAGTACGGCGAGGTACCGGGAGCGGGACGAGGGGGGTGAGCGGGGGGTGCCGCGGGGTCTGCTGCTCTGCCTCTCCCCTCCCCGCCCCGCTGCCCGGCTCCGTGTGGCTCTGCGGGGTTCCCCCAAAGTAAGGCTGCCCGGTCTCCGTGCCGTGCTGCTGCAGCACGGCGTTCTCCGGCACGGCGCTGTGAATGGAGCTGTGCTGCGCTCTGCCAGCAGCAGGGAGATGCTGGCTCCTGTCGGCTCCTGCTGTCCTCGGTAGGACTGGGAACGCAGCAGGTGGCATGAGGTCACCACGGCCGGGTGCTCCGTGCCCTCCCCATCGCGTTCCCGTTGCACCGCACTGCCTTGTGCAGTGCCCAGCGTGCTGTGAATGTGAGGCCGAGGGTTGCAGGGCTGCCAAGCCACCTGGGGAACAAATCAGTGCCTGTGCAACCTCTGAACGGGGCTTGTTCGTATGGGACACGGCAATAAACCCCTGGGCTATGTCTGCAGTTGGAGCAGATGCACAGGGATGCTCAGCATCAGTGCACACAGTGCTTGAGATGCTTTCCACAGCCCTTCCTGGCACTAATTTCTGCTTAGTCCATGATTGCATGCTCCATCTACGTGGCAACAGCTGTGTTTGCCCAGAATCCAGGGTGCCTCAACAGGACGTGGGTGCCTATGCAACTCTCATCCACCCTGATTTTGGGGCTGTGCAGCTTGAAAGCAAGCAGGATTTGCTACCTGGAGACTCTCAGAGATCGCAGGTGTGGTTATTTATCACCTGTCAGGGAGGAAAGGGGAAAGTTGAATGTTCTGTGCTCGTTATGTTGTCTCAGTGACTTGCAGAGACAGCTCATCCTAATGGGTTTGTTCCCATTATATCCCAATGAGCACACGCTAGGCACAGGCCAATCTGCTTCCTGCTAGCAGCAGCAAATTTGGTTGTTGAGGAGGAGAAAAAAAAGGTGAGCGCATTGTTAATGATGTTGCCAGACAGGAGTTAGTAGGTCAAGAAGCTTTTGTTCAGCCTGTGCTGGTAGCGTGCACAGCTCTGTGTGAAACAAGAGGAAAGAAGCTGTCCTGGTCTTGTGGGTTTGCAACTGAAGTGGGACCGGACAGTTTGGTCCTGGCACCAGTGGTGTGCAGGTTATCTTGGCAGAACTCATTTTGAAGGGATTTTGAAGTCTGATGGCAAAGGTCTGGCCAGGTGTGACAAGAGGGGCTGGAGAAGGTAGGAATGGGAGCAGAGGGTCAGGACCAGGCCATGGGGGCTCTCCCCTTTCTTCCTCACTGGGATGGAGGTGCCCCATAGAGCTGAGATGGTCAGCGGTGGCCTGTGGGCAGCAAGCAAACCTCTGTGAGGATTCCCTGGTCTGCCCATACTGAAGCAACCTTTGCTCTTGCACTTCGTAATGTGGGCGGTCTTCTTGTTGTGAGGGGACACCAGGTCAAACAGCCCCTCTCCACAAATCCCACCACAGCTCCAGTCCCTTTGAAGAGCTCAGGAGGAACCAGCGGGAGTTTCTTTCTTGCACAGGCAAAGCAAAGGCAATGTCTTTTCCAGCCCTTCCTGTCCTCTGGCATTGAAGGACTTGCAAACACAGCTGTGTTTGGGAAGCAAAAACCTTCCACGTCTCAATGTTGTCTTGATTTCGATTCAAGTGAGGGAAGGGCTTGGGCTGGGCTAGTTTGTCATTTGTTTTCACAGTTTTGGGGAAAAGAAAAAAAGAAAGGTGCTGTTTGTTTTTCATTGAAATACCACTGCAGGGAGAGGGGACAGGGATGGAGGAGCAGCATGGCTTACTCCATGTAAAAATACTGACAATGTCAAGGAGCTGTCCTGGGAAAAATGTTTCTTTCTTAAAAGGAAAAAGAGAGAAAAGCAGCAAGCTTTAAGGTTTCCTTTTGTTGCTGTTAAATAAGACAGGAAAGTCTTTTGCAACTGCTAACAATGCCAGAGCATCTCTGTGCAATACTGTGGGCTTGCATCAGCCTTGGTTTATGGAAGGCAAGTTAGAAGCTGATGCAGTTCAATGCTCAGAGTTTCCATGCAGAGCAGCACTTCAGGGACAGTCCTCAGTCCCCAGGGTCACTGGGACATAGTGGAATGGTGCTCCCTTTCCTGCAGCTCAGAAACAATCTTGGCTTTCCTAGCTGACCTGGAATCCTGATGCACATCCTCATTGCTGCAGGGTCTTTGCGGTGCCCATGTCCTTCACCAAGCTCTGTGAGAGCCCAGTGATCCCAGAGCGTGGGAGGAGTTGGTCTGAAGGTTCATCAGCTCTTGTAGAGCATTTGATTTGAGATGAAGTACCCCATCTTTGGGTACAACACTCAGTGCCTCTGCAGGAACTCTCACCCCCATTAACTGCCTCTCTCCCCCCAGGTGGATGTGAGAGCCATGGCGTGGGTCTTCAGCTATGTGGATGTGACTGATTCTGACTTCATTGCAGCCGTCCTCTCTATCGCCTTCAACCCATTCTTCTGGAACGTGGTAAGAGCTGCCTGAATGCTTTCTTTTGTCAGTTGATGTAGGAATACCCTTTGGGCTGTGCTGAATAACCCCCCACCCCCACCAAATTACCCCAAGAGCATCCCTCCTGCAAGAGCTCTGTAGTTCTCATCCTGGTGCAGGTGTTTATTGTTCTGGGAACTTCTCTAGGAGAGGAACTGCTTCTGGAGAAGTTTGGTAGAGAGAGCTGTGCTCGGTTCCTAGGCACTGGAAAAGAGTGAACAGGGAGTTTCTCTGCCAAGAGAGTCCTGGCACTGTTGCTCCTGGGGATGGCAGTGGCTATGACATATGTTGCAGAGGTCAGGAAAAAGGAAGCCAAAGCAGGATGCAGAAGGAATTAGGAACTAAGCTCGGATGAGGGGACAGAGTAATCAAACCCATCCTTCAACCATCTGCTGCACCTCCCACCCTGGCAGCCAGGCACTGCTCACTGTACGTGGTGAGACATCAGTGGCACAAGTGCCACTCATACCTAGGCATTAACTCCTGCAGGGTATGCACCAGGCCAGTTGTCCACTGCTTCCCATCCAAATATACTGACAGGAGGTTGCCTGGATGCAAGAAACATAAACAATCAGCCAAAAGTTAACCTGAGGAAATTTCCCCTCCATCCTTCTGCAGAGTCTGGCAAAGAGCTGCAGAGGTGTCAGTGAGCCAGCCCCAAGCGTGGGCAGGGGTATCTGTGCACGGTGATGCTTACTATTTCTGCAGGCACTGTGTTGCCACTGGGTCTGGTAGTGCTTTGGGAATGGAGAACGGAAAAGGTTTTGCTGCCCTTTATTGATGTGCTTTGCAACCTCCCTGCAAGAGCAACAGGATTCATCTCTGGCCCTGTTGTGCAAGCATTGCAGAGCCAACACACCAGGCAAGGAGCCCAGGCCGGTGAAAGCACAAGTTCCTGCAGCGTCCTCGGCAGCACAGCTGAGGTTTGGGGACGAAACTTTCTCCCTGCAAGCACTCATGGAAACGGGATATCATCGCAGCCAAGATTCCTGAAGTCGCTGCCAAACCTCCCCGCAGTGATTCTCACCCTGGGGAAGTCTCCTTACAAAGGCCTTGTTTTTCCAGAGGGGGAGGGCTCGGCTCTCTCTGAGCGTGGGGGCTCTTGAGATTGTCTCACGCTGGGCTTTGGAAAAGCAAGGCTCTCCTAGCCGTGATTCACTATGGAAACCTCCGTCGGAGTTCTTTATTGCAGCCTCCCTAATTTTTCATGCAATTCGTTATTAAAAAGTCTCACAGTGTCTGAAATGCGAACTAGAATAAGCCACATTATTTCTACTGTGGAGTCGTCGCTTAGCATAAAGAATCAATGAACAAGAAGATTCAGAATGTGGTCTCTGGGGGAAGAGATCAGCTCCAGCAAGAAATTGCATAAAAGGGAAGGAAAAAAAAGTACTTTATTGGTGTCTGCTGCTATGCCTGTGACTGTGCTGGTTGCCTGCAGCTTGGGAAATAGTGTTGCTATTTGGATCAAGACTTCAACTGCTCTTAAAGTACAGGGAAATCTGATGTAACAGCAGGAAGTTCATTGCTCTGGGTTGTTGCTGTCCCCTTGCAGCATCTGAAGAGCATTGCCGCTGGCGGCAGGTGGCACTGCAAGCAAGTCGTGCAGAGCTCCACCTGGGAGCAGAAGGCATCTGTATGGGTTTGCAGCGAGCAGTGATCTGCCGCGCTGATGGGGAGCTCTGGGGAGGTGAGCGTGGCACGAGGTGCTCCTGAGCTGCCAAGGGCCAGGTGCCTCTCGCAGTGCACGTGCCTCCATCCATATGCTTGTGCTGCCCTGTCCCCAGGGCTTCCCTGTGATGTGTTCAGGCTCTGGCTCACACCAGTCACAGCTTGAAGGCTGTTGCAGAGGTGCTATGGAATCTTCAGCCCTGAGCAAGCCTCCGCTGTTGCTGTATTTTAGCAGCAGTGGCTCCAGCCATCCCTAGATTTTCTCTAACCTGCTTCCTTCACCTCCTCCCAGTCCTTTCTGTGTGATCATTGTCTCCTGCCTGCACCAAGCCAGCAGCAATTCTTTCCTTCTCCACACCCCCGCACAGGCTTGCTTTGTCTTCTGCTCTCTGAGTTTCTTCTCAGCTGTTGAGATCATCTCTGCATCTGAATTACTTTGTTTGAGCTTGCAAGAGCCTCAGTGTAAAGATGGTTTCTGTGTTGTGCCAGGAACCCTCTGCTTTCTCTCCTTAATTAAGTAAACCGGGACCCTGATCAAAACACCTCCTGTGCATGAAATTCCTGATTTGGACAGAAACTGGGTGGGGATGCATTGATTTAATTCAGCATCTTAATTCCCATTTTCTGCTGAACTCCAGCCAGGTCTGCCTCTTGCAAAGTTTGGCGCCGGGTTGTCCTCTCTGTGTAGAGCCTCTGAATAAAAATGTGCTGGGGAAACCCCGGCTCAGTGGGGGCTCAGGCTGTGCGTGTCTCAAGGCCATGGGGGGAGCGAGCTCCGGCTGCCCCACTCTCAGCAGTTGCAGGGCATTGGTAAGCAGCCAGCATGTTTCTTCTGGACAAACACTGTTTGTGTTTGTGACTGTGTTTGGAGATGAAGCAAGGCTGATGGAGGCTGTGCAGTAGCGTGGCTGCAGAGCAAACCGTGGTTCTTGCTGATGTAATTCTGTTAAGAGAGCAATTTAGAGAACCAGAGCCTATGAGGGACAGTTTGCAGGACTCCAACTGGGCTGGGCTGGGTTGGTTCTCCTCATATTCTTCCCAAGGGATAAAACCCCCCCAAAAAAACCGTCAGGTTCCCTATTTTGCAACCTCATCCATGCAGACATGTCCTGGGGGGGTACCATGAATGTCCCCCTGGGATCCCCAACTGAATTTCCCACCAAACCCAGGGGTCACATCCCCTTTTCTCTTTTCCCTTCTCTGTGCAAATCCAGCTCATCCCCCGGTGACCCTTAGGTTATGTTATCCAGGGGACAGCTTGGACGTATTTCCGCGCTCCTCACTTTTTTTCCTCTCCTCCTCCTGCCTCTGCTTTCCCACCCACCATAGCTGTTACAGAAGGAGCTGTTGGTTCCATGCTCCCACGTGAGGTAGGTTGCAGGCCAGCCTGACTTTCTGAGAAAAAGCACTTAAATTGGATGTTCAAAGCATCCAGGAGACCTGAGCCACAGTTGTGCTGTTGGGGGGCACCCGATGAGAAGGAGGTGTGTCAATGAAGCCATGTCATAAAACTTCAATGAGTCGAGGAGGCAGAACCTTCAATAAATCCCATCTGTGTTTGGAAAGCTGCAGGACGATGGGAGAAATTTCCCTTCCGTTGGTAACTAAGGAAGATATTAAATAACAGCTCCTCAGGGACAAACATTTCAAAGCCAAGAGAGGCAGATAACCCGCGTATTGGAAGCTTCAGAGAGCTCTCTGAGCCTTGGCATATGGGGAGTTTCTAGAAGGCTGGAAGGTTTCTGGCACTGTCTCAGTAGCAAAGAGGCACGTGGCGTAGCGGTGAGCCAGGTATGTGACGTCTGTCACCACGCAAGCAGGTTGAAGTGGGGAGCGCATCCATCCACCAGCAATCCTTTTCATGGTTTGAGCCTCTTAAAAATTTATGGCTGGCATCATGGCCTGATTCAGAGATGGCACATCTTTCAGTTGCTGTGTGAGAGCGTGCTCTTCCCATCACCTCTTGTGACCCTCCCGAAATACCCATGCATCCTGTAGGAATCTGCAGGGCAAAAGCTCAGGTGTCAAGGTTGGGAGTGGGATTAGCGTAACTTAGCATGATTTATCAAGAAAATAGACCCCATCAGGCAAATGTGAATTTATTCTTCAAGGTTGCAGCTTTTCCTGTTCAGGGTAACAAGATCTCTGTTCTCGGCTTCTGTCAAGTGTTTAAACTGCATGAGGTTTTGATTAAAGAAGTGGTTGCACAGGGACCTGAGCTGACAACGCCTGGCTCCTGATGGATGCGTATCTCTTGGTTCATTTATTTTTAATTTCCCTTCCTTTTCTCCTTCTTTGGAGACTAGAGAAACCTGCCAAGTGGATAAGAAGTGCCTGAGTGGGGTGGAGGGGGAGTTTGCAGGCACTGGCAGCCCAATTTCACCTCCTTCTGACCACTTCTTGCTATATTTGGAGGAAGGTGCCTGCCTAAACCTCCCCACACTGCTGCGAGCTGTCAGGATTGAAACCTCCAGGAGCCAAACCCAGAAACCTTCTGGGGGCAGGAGAAAAATGCCTTATGCTGTGGGATTTCAGCAGCTCTGGCTGCTCGTCTCACAGAAGGGAAAGATTGAGAGGTGGCTTGATTGTGGCGTGTTAGTACCTGGCTGGGGAAAGGAAATTGCAGGGTAAGAAATGGCTGTCAGCCGGCAGCAGGGCGAGGGCTGGGGCGGGCTGCTGGCAGAGGGGGGCCCTGCACAGCTTTGTGCATTCAGCACAGGGCGGGATTGGATAGATGAGCCAGCTGGAGTGGGTGATTTAATGGTCTCTTCTGGCCTTAAAATTCTGCAAATCTGCAAGAGTTTCGTGATCTCTCTGAAAAGCCTTTGCCTGCGTGTAGCTGTGGGTAAGAACACGAAAACAGCCCTCGACCATCTTCTGGAAAGTGCTTTGAGATCCTGTTGTAGCAGCCGTGGCACAGTGACAATGATTATCTGCTTATAACAGATGCTAGATCAATAGCGGAGCTTGAAGCTACGCTGCAAGGCAATTGACTGCAGAAAGCAATTCTTTATTGGGGTAAATCTGGCCTTGCAACAAGGCTCAGATTCATTCTTACAACTCCGGTCTTAAAATGTCAGCACCAGCTCTGATGCCTTTCATCCTTTGTGCTGGGAGAGAATGCGCATTATTCATAATTGGACTCTTCCAGGCAGGAATAGCCGTTTTCATTTCCTACAGTGCCTGAGAAACAGTGAGGATTTGCTTTTTTTCTTTTTTTTTTCCCTTGCCCAAACAGCACTTAGTGGCAGTTTTATTCTGAGTGACTCGGTAACGCTTCCCACTCAGGCGGTGGTGGCTTCGGAGCG